GCTGGATAAGCAGACCCGACGGGGTGACCCGGGGGACTCAGAGGCCCCGGCCGGCCGACGCACTCGGACGCTGACACGACAGCGGGTTCCCGCGGGGACAGGGAGGTGTCACTTGCCTTGATGACGTCTTCATCAGATGACCTGCACTCCACCGACTGCAGCAGGTCTGTCACGGTGCCGCCTTCCTCCACGGAGACCAGCTTCACCGGGACGGCCACCGTCTTCCCCGTGAGGACCGCGGTGTTCAGGATCTCCACCTCCTGGAAGACCGAGCACACGGCCATCATGTCCCTCCCCTGGACGGCCACCTTCCTGGCCTCCCCGAGGGCCTCCTGCCCTTCATGCAGCTCCGTGCCAACCCCAGGAGGCACGTGCCATCACTCGGGCCTCCTCCAGGTACTGTCACAGGATTCCTGTGGGTCCTGAGTGGATGGGGGCTGGGAGGTCATACGAGCCCATTTTTCAGATGGAGAAAACTGAGGCCCAAGACCAGAAGTAGGTCTCACCTGTCTCTGCAGGAACTGTCTCCTCTAATCGCAAGATCAAAGTCCCCACATAACCCACAGCCTCTGAATGACGAGACCTCCGAGTTCTAGCCCCTCCCAGGATGTGCCTTCAGCTTTTCCAGTTCCCTCTCCCCCTGGCCCTGGAGGAGCCTCAACCCTGCTGTGAAGTCGAGTCCCGGGAACGCCATCTGCTGCCTGATGTTTCCCAGGCCCCTTGCAGTTTGGGTAGAAACGTGTGGACACGAGACTATTCGGGTCAGTGTTGTTCCCATCACCTGCCCTGGAGACGGGGGAGGCTGCATGTTCTGATTGGCGCGGCTACAAGGAGGAGGGGCCCTGCTGGCCCGGTCACCTGAGTCACCGTGTGGACAAAGCTGCCTGCTGACCACGTAGGGCTCAAAGTGGGAGTAAGAAGCGCACCTTCCTCATCTTAAGGCAAAGAGACTTTGGGGCTACTAGTTACTGCACTGCACCCTCACCTGTCCTGACTAACACACATCACCTGTTATTTAAAAAAATTTTAAAAATTCATTGAATTGCGGACTATGCCTTAAGCCTAAGCAGACTGCTCAGGTATGAACCTTCCACATGACCTCCTCATGCTGGGGGCCGGCCTTTCGCTCCCCCCCCC